GTGCCAGGGAGAGCGGGGACGGAGCAGGCTGCAGAGGATGCTCGGAAAGGACCCAGGTCTGGAGCAGCATCCCATCAAGGGGTGCCGTGGTGGCTGGGGAGGGCAGAGGGGGTGGGATGCTGCCTCTGCTGCCGGAGTTTCTTTGGGATTTACCCAGGCTTCTCTCTGCAGGGAGCAGCAGGCAGAGCTGGCCAGGCTCCCCACGTCTCCAGATGAAGGTAAGAGCAGCCCAGGGTGGGGTTGGGGGGAAAGGGGTGGTGTTTGTGCACTCCCTCCCTGAGCAGCATTGCATGAGTCCAGCATGAGGGTGTCCCCTGGCCTGGTAGCACCTGCCTGCGACCCCACACCTCTTCCAGCACAGGGACCCCGACCTCATCCCCTGCAGCTCCTCATGGATCTGCCTCACCAGCTGTGACCCACCCACTGCATGGGACCCCTCACCCTCCTCCCCCTGCCCTGGCCCAGCCTGGCTGCAGCTCCCTTAACCCCACAGGGGTATTGAGGGGTGTGGGTACCAAATGCCAGAATGCCAGCGGTGTTTTCGGAGGTCTCTTTTGAAGTGGTGTCAGGCTGGGGAGACGATGCTGCCCAGCTCCCACCACCCTCTTTGTCCCCAGGGAGGATGAGCAGTCCCCAGGGACACCCAGATGGGGTTTTGGCCAGGAGCGAGCACAGTGTGGATCATGTCAGTGAGGTGAGAGGGAGAGGAGGGTGACGGGTTGGGGAGGCCCTTCCCTCCCTGGCCCCTCGGGCTCAGCCAGACCCCCAGCTGCTGGGTGCCGCTCTCTTTGGGTTGTGCCAGGAAGGGGTTTGCTCCAACAGCACCTTGTGCCCCCCAGGTGCCAGGCACGGACAGGCAGGAGCTGGCTGTGCGCAGCAGGGACAGTGATGGGACTGAGGAAGGTGGGTGAGTCCCCATCCTGCATCCCCCTGGGTCCCCTTAGGGGACACTTGAAGTACCTGGGGATGAGTGTGGGAGCAGCGTGGCCTGATGGGGTTGGTTGCCTTGGTGGGGACATGGGGAAGGGGGGACTGACTGGTCTGGGGGGCCCTGAAGCCACACTGATGCTGGGGCAGGATTGGGATGGCCCCACACCCCACAGGCACCTGCTCCCTGCCAGGACAGGAGAACAGAAGGAGGGGAAAAGGCCAAGCAAGAGCCCTCACGTGTGGTCTCTCCTGTGTTGTTACTGTCTCCCTGCAGATGCAGAAATCCCGGAGGAGCAGCTGCTGAGTTTCCCCAGTGAGCTCTCAGTGCTGGAGAGACTGGGTTTGCACAGGTAAGACCAGTGTCTCTCTGGGGACTATGGGACAGGAGGGTCCCAGAGCACAGCGCGGTCCAGGGATTCGACTACTTGCCTTTTCCACGGCACAAGAGCCACTCTCTGGGCAAGGGGCACTTGGGTCCCCGCTTTTGGTGGCGGCTGGCACCCCTGTGAGCAGACCAAGAGCACTTTGAGCATGCATCTGACAGCACTTCTCTCTTTGCAGGGTGGCTTTGACAGAGCAGGATGTGGAGGTGAGGGCTGGTGGGGGCTGCAGGTGGGCTGGGGAAGGGGAACAGGGCGACGGACGCTTTGCTGGCTCACAGTCCCGGGGCTGTGCCCTGTTCCTGGCTGCCCTCCAGGCACCGCAGTCCCCTGGCAGCCACCTTATAAATCCCTTTCTCGGTGATGCTGTTGGCATTCGGAGGCAGCTGCATTTCCAGAGCAAGATGAGCCCGTCCTCTGTGCGCCCGGCAATCCCACAAAGTGCTCTGCAGCTCGCCGAGAGCGCCCTTAGCCGGGGAGGTGGCGGAAGCTGTGCTAATAAAAATAATATTCCTGTGAGTGCCAGGGCTGAGTCAGTCTCTGCTGTCAGCTGGGACCTGCAGCGAGGGCTGGCCTCCACCCGGCGCGTGCTTCTGCCAGGAGGGCTTGGGATTTCCATGGGTTTCCACGCGTTATCAGAGCAGGCTGCCTGGGGGACATGTCTCGGTCAGGCTGGCATCTCCCAGGGACTGTCCCAGCGCACAGCAGCCTAATGAGTGCTGGGGCAAGGCTAATTATCCTTAGCACTGCTCTGCTTGGTGGCACGCTGGGGGAGGGTCTGTCTGTGCCCTGGGGACAGCAGCGCATGGCCTGGTGGCTTCCCCTTCGCCCTGTGTCCCACCTCTCGCCCTCCCATCCCGCAGGCAGCCTTTGCCCACCTTGCCCTGGCTTTTCGCTGTGACGTGTTCACCCTGCGGCAGCGGGTGCAGGTGGAGAAGCGGGCACGGGACGCGGCAGAGGAAAACATCCAGGAGGAGCTGAGGCAGTGCCGGGCTGCCCTGGAGGTAGGTGGGCACCAGAGTAGAGGGCTGGCATCTGCTGGGGGCATCCAGCCCCAGAGGATCCAGAGTCCTGGCTCTGGCAGCTCCATCCTCTCCCCCCACAGAGGCTGGGCCCATCCTGCGCCGACACGGGCTGCAAGGAGATGCTGGAGCAGCTGGAGCGCAGCCTGGCTGTGCTGGCAGCTTCTGTCGAGCGGGCAACCAGCGCTGCGGAGAAGCTGGGGGCTGTACATCAGGTCTGTGCATCGCCTGCGGCTCCCTGCCGGGGCCAGAGGGCTGGAGGGTGCTGCGACTGGGCCTGGGGACCCATCCCTGGGCGTGCTGGGGCTGTCCCTCCTCCTCCTGGTGCTGGCACACACCGGGGTGCAAGGTATCCGCCTCCCTTGGGAGCATTTACACCCCCTGGGTGGAGACGCTGCGGGATGCACGCTGAGGGACCGGCAGGGGTGTGGGGCTTTAGGGATAAAGGAGGGACCTATTGCCCTATCCTCCCGGGCCGCAGGAGGCCCGGATGATCCGAGCGGCGGAAGTGATGGTCCAGCACGTGGAGAACCTGAAGCGGCACCACATGCGGGAGCACGCGGAGCTGGAGGAGATGAAGCGCCTGATCCAGCAAAACTCCCGCAACCGGCAGCTGGCGGAGACCCAGGGTGAGGTGGGCTCTGCCGCCGGGATTTGCGCGGGACAACCCTGTGGGATTTTGGTCCCGAACCCTCCAGGGGGTCGGCGTGACCCTGCGCCGCAGAGCCAGCG